GCGGACGGTTGGGCGTGTCAGCCAGTATGAGTGTGTCACCCTCTTTGAGCTGTTCTCTGCCTTCTTGTTGAAACGGGCATGCGACAAAAAGCAGTAGAAAACAAGTAATACGAAAGGTATGATACAGTATTGTCATTTGCTCGCTTGAACAACTCGTGGAGAACGAGTTTGGCACCGCGCCAAACGCAGCCGCACGAACACGCCCAACCGTCCGCAATGAACTACACTATATGAACGCGGCCTTATTGCCGATTCTTATCGCGATTCACAGGCCAACCTGTACTTTTTACCTGATAGTATATAGAAAAGCAGGAACGAAGTCCCGTATGAGATCCTTATAGTCCGCATAGCCGCTTTTCAAGCCCGTCTTCAGAGCAACCGAACTCTGGCAATGTCGTAGCACATGTTGATGCCTTTTTCTCGAAATTCGCCCATCAGTGCGCAAACTCGAAAAAAAGGTATTTTAATGCAACCCGCTAAGGCTTATAAAACCAAAGCATACATTTTCTCTCGCTGTACAAGTTTTGGAAAAGCAATGCTCATCTGGTTCCAAAAGAAATCTCAATACTTCGCAATACTTTGCCGCAAGGGCAAAGTCTTGATTCATCAGCAGCAAAATAAGCCAGAAAAAGTAGGGGCAGGGTAAAGGGATTGTGAGTCAGGAGTTGGAGATTTCTGCCCCTGCGTATGAGGAAAGGAAATCGAGGGGGAGCGAAACTGTCTTCAAATAAGCGAACACCTTCCGCCCGAAGAATCTGGTTCCACGAAAGCCGGAGCTCGTCACCTCCTAGGCATAGGTAGAAATCCTCACCCCTCAGATTCTTTTCACCTTCCACTGGGCATGTGACAAGACAATCGTAATTCGCCGCGCTATTGGGCGTTGCGTGCGACGTCGCACCCGCAAATGGCTATCTTTCTAGGTCTCAGATTGCGAGAATAGACAATGCATAACCAAAAATAGCAATAAATGTCTGCAGTGCCGCGATCTATCTATTCGAAATCCGGTGTTTCAATCGACTGGTTAACGCAAATTACGCGTACGCCACGCTAGCAACACGCGACGGCAAATTACGATTGTTTTAACCGTCTCAATCTTTCACCGTTTATCTTAATTGCCTCCCTAGTTTTTAGAAACCGATGAAATGGCGACGAAAACGAAGCTCGTAAATTTCGCAGCTCCAGGCGCTCCTTGTGCAGAAGCGGGATTACAGTAATCGGCACGAGCTATTGCACTAAAATAATTGCACGTCGCACAGGTTCATTTCGGTTTTACGGACGGCTTAAGCTGCGAAGCTCGCGTGTGTTGTGATTCTGAAGGAATCGTCATCGAATCACCCATTTCATTGCAGCCTCGTTTTCTCTCGATGTGTAACTTTACAAACCAACTGTTCTCATTTTTCTGTGTTGATATAGTTTTCCCCAAACACGACCAATCGACGACAAATATTTGAAGGGAAATTTTGCAGGTGCTTGTGCAGGATTGCTCTGCAGGAATTGGACCAATAAAATCGAGGTTTCCTATGAATCGACATTTCAATTCTTTTTTGCGGAGTGTTGTCGTTGTGAACCGCCGTCGGTATGTAAGTGAAGCAGTGGCCACAACTGCCAAGGAAGGAAAGCGACGCATCGCACCTATAGGTATTTATGTTGTTTGTTGGGTTCCATTCCAAAGTCAAAACATGGACTTCTTCCGTTTTTTTCTGCTCGTTGCTTACTGTTTTTCATTTTCTGCAAACTATCCGTGAAGTTTTTTTTCCTGAAATTTCTGTAAATGGGCTAAATTCAATGAATTGTATTCAGTGTCTCTTCTTTTATTAAGATCAAGTGGTTTTAAGATGGACCTGGTCTCGAACATTTCATTCAACGAAGTCATAGGACTCGACTTCCGAAGATCTCTCCAACGATGGAGGAGTCAAGTTCCTACCTTGATCCTGCGGACCTGTCAGGACAAGGCCGTAAAGGTACCTCCGTATTGATACATTCCATACATTCCATTTTTGTTTTTTTTCATGTTTTGACTGTGGAGAGTTACATGTGTTTTCTAGTGAAATACATCACCTATGGATGCCAAATGAATGTAAACGATATGGAAGTTGTTCGAGCGCTACTGAAAAGCAGTGACTATATTGAGACCGAAGATCTGCATGCAGTAAGTAATGTTGTTGTAGTGTCGTGATAGCGCGTCTCTCCGATCTATCTTTCAACCTTTCATTAGCATAACAGTCATGCTCAATCCGCAGTTCTGCTATGGTAGGATTTTGCAAACTTGCGTCTACTTACCAGACAATATTACACGGTCTTATTTACCCGTGGAGCAAATAGATGGCCCCAGTTTTATTGGCACGCTATTTGCCTCCCTTTCCTCGACTATTAGGCGGTACTTACCATTATTTAGTGAAGGAAATTGTCCAAAAACGACCGCGCTCAAGTAGTACATGGTCGTCCTTCCTTGTGCAAGTAGTACAGCCCCCAAGCTAGAGACTATCCCACTCTCGCGACTCCATAGCACATTGAGCGAGCTACAGCCGCTCAAGTTCTAGTTCTAATTTGCGGGCGCCCAAGTGACCGCTCACTTGCTAGCATGCCTATGGCCGGAGAGCGCTCAGTTGTTCTTTTTTTTGGGCGGGGGCGGGAGGGCCATTAATCGGAATACGACATGCCACTTTCTTGCTGACCGCGCTCGTATCCATGGATGATTCTGCTCTCCCTTGATACATTTTATTCATCAGGAGCACATACAGTCAACTCCAACCCATCTCGCAAGGTAAAACGCGTAAAAATCACGAGCGACCCAATTTTCGTGGTGCAAAAGCTCGACGCACCACACTACACTAAAAGATGCACGCTACCGTAACCCAATTCAGACGCCGAGTTTTTGAAAGTTTCTTTTCCTTTTCAAGAGTTTTTCTTCCGTGTTTTTGTTGTTTTCGTATTCTTTTCTTTGCATTGGATGATATCCACTACTGGGAGATGTGATAAAGGGATTTGTGAGCCAGGGGTTGCACAGAGACCGCAGGAGGTGTGACTGTCAGGGAGCGATTTTGTTTATGGTGTTCTTGAGGACTCTTCTTGCTTTTTCTTCTTTGGGGAATTACTTATCAGCTACTGTTTCATAATTGAACAGCAACTATCCATGACACTTTTATCGCGGGAGCTGTCTTAAGGTCTCTGTAGGCGCAAAGGGTATATCGGTGGTATACGTGACATTGGCATACAAAAAGAAATAGTTACCGTTTCATAGCTTCGCAGGAGTTCCAGGACTTTACAGAATAGCACGGAAAAGGTTGCTAGTGTACTCCTTCGTTTCGTAGCGGACTTGCATCGCAACGTATCTCGAAAATTTCACTTTCGTGTTTTCCTTTATGTAAATCCAATTCAGACCGGGACCATAACAGAGTTTCTTCTGGTCAGAATGATGTCGCACGACTTCACTATTCCCTTCTCATTTGAGTTTATCAGGCTGATGTCGTCGTTCTTATTACTTGCTCCATTCGTGAAGGTGCTGAGGAAAAAGTTTGGCGTGAATTGAAGCGAATCCGAAACGTCGTTTCAAAACGACGCAGACCAGTAGTTGGTGTTCTGGGTACGTCCTTCACTCCACTGCCTTCAACTGTTTGACAGAAATCGATAATATTTTTTTTCGTGAAGTTTCTACGAAATTGTCGTTTGTTTTATGTCTTTGATGGTTAGTTCTACTCACCTCAAATGCAAATAGGGACTCTGAACTCGTTGGATCATTCCTTTGCCACGACTTTTATTAATTATCTTGTTAATCGGTCCGAAACTCTCTTATGAGGATTTCATTCCAGGATGTATGGCTGAAAGAGTCCGGCATGGTCTTCTGTCAAAGAAAGGATTGGTTGATGTTGTTGCTGGTAAACCACTAATTTTAATTTTATATGTCTTCTGGTATTGTAAAGGCAATGTTAATAATTCAGGGCCGGATGCCTACAGAGATTTGCCTCGTCTGATAGCTGTAGCTCGGGCTGGTAGTAGTGCGATTAATGTTCAGTTATCCGTTGAGGAGACATACGCCGATGTTCAACCGGTTCGAGTGGATAGTAACGCGAGGACTGCATACGTGTCAGTTCAAATATATTTTCTGTCATGTTCAGTTAAAGACAGCTCCCGCGATAAAAGTCTCATGGATAGCTGCTTTCCAATTATGAAACAGTAGCTGATAAGTAAATCGCTCCCTCACAGTCACACCTCCCTGCGGTCTCTGTGCAACCCCTAGCTCACAAATCTCTCTATCACATCTCGCAGTAGTTGATATCATCCAGTGCAAAAAAAAGAAAACAACAAAAACGCAGAGGAAAAACTCTTGGAAGGAAAAAGGAATTTTATCCTTCCAAAAGTTTTTCCTCTGCGAAACTCTGGGAAGGAAAAAGGAATTTTATCAACGCGGTGTCTGAATTTGGGATTACGGTAGCGCACGTTTTGTGCGTCGAGGTTTTGCATCACGAAAATTGCG